CTCTCCCGTCAGTAACCACAGAACCGATTCCCCCTCTTCGCCCTTTCAGCCTCAGAAAAGGGGAGGAGACGTGAGTGTGTCCGAGTGTCCCTGTGTCTGAGCTCTGTGTCTGAGTGACTGTGTTTGATTTGTTTGTGTGTCTGCGCTGTGTGTTACTGTGTGTGCGGTTCGTGTGTGTGTGTCCTGTCCCAGCTGCGGACAGTCACTCCTGTTCTGTAACAGGCACAGGGGCGCACCAGGACTCTATTCCCCTCTGCTGTCCGAAATAGACCCAGTGTCCAGCCGCTCTTGCTCCCTAAGGCCTCTGATAACTGACTGTGGCCTGTTTGCGTGTTTCCTTCCGTCACCCTCCGCCCCACGGGCGCTGGCACAGAGCCGAGGGGCAGAAGGAACCGCTGCCATCTCTCAGCGTGACTTGCTGCAGAGCCCAGGCCGCGGGGGACCTTCTCTCCCGGGCCGGGTGGCTCCGAGGAAGCTGGACCCGGGTCTCTGTGGGGGAAGGGGAGCGCAGGAGCCACGTTGGAAGGAGTCCAATGAATCCCGGTTTGCATCAGTGAAAGTGCCGGATCAGCAAGCCGAGCCGGGCCGGGGGAACAGGGCTCCCGCCTCCACGGGACTGGACGAGCCCCCCCGCCTCCACGGGACTGGCTGAGGCAGCCGGCGATGTCCGCCCCGCAGGCCCAGGGGAACACCGTGAAGCAAGCGGGGGGTTTAAGGGGCGTTTCTAGGCAACGAAAGGGTTAAAATCTCCCCGCGGGTTTGTCTTTCATCCACCGAAGTTTGTTCTCGGTTCTGTGCCCAGCGCCCGGTTGTTCGTGTCTCTGCTGCCCCCGCGTGGCGGCCGCGGGTTCTGCAGCCTGGGTTTTTGCAGGAGCATCAATAGATTTCGTGTCGCTGTGTCTCCCGCACAGTAATAGCGGGCGGTGTCCTCGGGCTTCAGGCCGGTCATTTGCAGGTGCAGGAGGTTGTTGCCGTTGTCCCTGGAGATGGTGAATCGGCCTTTCACCGCATCCAGGTAGCGTATATAGCTCTCATCACCACTGATAACAGCGACCCACTCCAGTCCCTTCCCCGGAGCCTGCCGGACCCAGCTCATCCCGTAGCTGCTGAAGGTGAAGCCGGAGGCTTTGCAGGAGAGGCGCAGAGAGTCTCCGGGCTTCTTCACATCCCCTCCAGACTCCACCAGCTGCACTTGGGACCGGGCACCTGGGAACAAACACGATACAAACATAAGAATCAAAATCGCAAACACAAATTATCCGTCCCCTCTCCTGTGTATTTAGCTAGAAAATACCTGGCAAAACTGCCGCAGAGAAAACTAAATAAACCCAAAATTTCATGTTCCCCGTTGCTGGGGGGCAGAGCTGGCTGGTAACTGCACAGACACCAGAGGCTGCGGGGTGTCTCTCCGGGTACAGCATAGGGAGGGAGAGACACCGATTTAAGCA